TCAGTGGTCAACTGTGGTCAACCAAGGGTCGCCAGTTTTGACCCGCAGCCAAGGGTCTACCCGTACAACAGTTCGGCGAGTCTGGAATCGTAGGCGGTCATGCTGGTTGCCGGCAACCCCACGTCAGTGCCTACCAGCGAGGCTTGGACCAGGTTCAGGTTGGCCCATGGGGAAGCCCTGCAGAAAGAACCCTGCAAACCAAATGTCCACGATCCGATGGTATCTCCTGCTTTATTTTTGAAAGTGGCTTCAAAATGTTTCAAAGTAGGTGGCGCAACCCCCTAAATGTCGTTGAACCGGGGGTTATGTCCGTATAAACATATTTATATAACTACCACATTTTGGGGGATTGTGCCATCTACTCTGCAACCACGGTGGATAAAAAAAAGCTCAAGATAGCTTCGTTTGCTGACTCCGGTGCTGTACATGGTTGTGAGGTCTCCTCTTCACTTCGACAGGCCTCAGCAAATGATGAAGGACAAGAGACCCAAGCACCTCAGACCATCCAACGATATAGCTATATACTATAGAAACTGTTTGTCTATAGTTATTAGTTATAAGCTATACCTATATATATTATCTTATGTATATATATATAATATATATAAGCTATATAACACTATTATATATATATCGTATATATGAGAATGGTCATTTCCATGGTGTAAATGCATCTAACATCATGCAACTCCTAACCACCAGTCCCTACCGCTCAGATGCTCCGGTGATCTCCGGTGTCCATCTCTCTGGCCATCCCTCCTCACCTAGGTCGAGCGGCGCTGCCTCAGCGCGGTTCAGACCTCAGCGTGGTTCAGATCTTCCGCGGATCCACAGATCCGCCGATGCCATGACACCGACCCAAAAACGGGAAACTGGTGGCTTCACCGACCCTGCCGCCGTCTCCGTCACCTTCCTTTCGCCGCCTCCCACGTCCACGACCCGCCTGTGGATCGATAGGAGAGTCAACCGGGACCCACACATCCTGCACCTCGACCCTGGTGAGCGCCCCAAGCAAGCAAGCCGACTGGGACCGGAGCCAAGAAATCCCATGACCCGAACGTCCATCCATGGATGGCATCTCGACCATCTTGGCGCGCCCCTTTTCCCGCCTCCCGGTCCTCCGGATGGGTACTCATCCGCGAAGGTCTCTCCAAGCAACACTAGTAGCGTGTCGCGAACGTCACCGCCCGCACCTGAAGGGACTCACGCGTGCGCATGGTACTCACCTTCAGCTACTTGAGCTACTTGAGCTACTTGAAGGTACTCAGCTTCAGCTACTGGAGCTTTCAGAATCCGATGCGTCGCTCTCCGACGGGGAGGGTCCGCAAGCAGGTCCCACCAGGCGAGACAAGAAGAACTGGGCCAAAAACCGTCCGCAAGGTAACCTCACTTGGGCCAGGTCAAAGCCACAAACCAAAACAAAAAAAGGTTGATGTGCAGGAGTCACAACGGGGTGGTGTTTAGTCCCTAAGTGAGTGGATAACGGGCACCCCTAACCTCCAATAAGCACCCCTTTGTGACTGCAAGTGGTTTTGCAGTTCTAGAATCTTTGGTGTAAAGCAACATGTAGGGCCTGCTTGGAATTTGAAAGAAGAACAATGTAAACAAAGAGGCACCATATTAAGTCAAAGGTGTTTGGAATCCTATAGGGAGAAGGCTTTCTACTGTTGTACTGTTAAATGAGAGAAAACGTGTTGGAAGACATTTGGCAGTGACTTCAATGTGCCGCGGATGCCCAAGGCAGCAAAGAATAACACCAGCAAGAAGGATAGATTGTAGAAAGTGAGTAGTGAAGAAAACATAGCTTCATTCCCCAACGGACCCAGTTCCACCAAGCAAAAATAGAATACGGTCACAATCTTGGCCATCACGTTCAGCATAAAACATCTTTCATCGATGGAGCGACTGAAAAACAAACACAAGAAGGCAAGCCTAGCAACGATTGAAGTGGCTTCCATGCATGCCATGAATGTATACACTCCAGCAATGGAATGATATTTTTCATAAAACAAGAAAATGTACCGCCCCAAATGCCACCAACCCAGCAAGAATAAGGGCCCCAGCGCCAGTACAGGAATGGCCAATTGAACAAACCCTGCATGCCGAAGCTCAACCCCGTGCAAATGTGCGTCTCGAAGTGCATTTGACGTCAATCCGGCTTTCATCAGAACCTGGATGACTTTGTCAACTTCATGAACCTGGTCACCAATCTCATTCCGGATGTTCAATTCATCTTGAACTTCAGAGCATGATGCATGCCGAATGGAACCCTGGTACTGATTTTGTAACGCTTCTGCTTCTTGCCTTTCTGTTTGACAGTTCACTCGATCAACTTCAGCAAGCAAAAAATAGATGATTATGCCAACACGATTGCTTAACTGTGTCACAGCCAAAAGCCCCTTCTTGCCGAGCAAAGGAAGGAAGCGAAAACCACTCAAAACTAATAAACCTCCGATGATAGCGGCTGCACCACTGGCTAAGCCAACGTGGTTTGCAATCAAACACAGCCGCATCTGTCCACAGTTTTGACTCACCAGGCTCGCAAAAAGCGCTAGCATTCCTCACTTGCTTTGTTTCAATTTCAGGTGGAAAAATGTGACGAAGCTGGGAAGCCTGAAAAAATATATAGACAAAAACAACAAAACCAAAGATTCCGCACTATAAGTATCACCCCAGATTCTCCCTATGAGTATCAACTCCTGGGCTAGTTGCACTCGTCCTACTTTAAAGACCATCCCAACAATCAGACCCAACAGCAGTGCAGGAAGCATCCTGAGCCAAGCCAATAACACTTCGCGCCCAATGGGAGGCGTAGCCGTTCGGATGATCTTGTTGCTTTGAAAGGCCAAGTAGGCTTCATATCCACACCACAACCTGGTGTAGACACTTTTATGCCGGTTGGGCACCACCAACATGTATTTGGAACTCTGCAAAGCAAGCGCAAAGGGAGACAACGATGGGGACTGAAGCAAAGCACCAATATCCAGATTCTGTGGATTTGCCAACATGCAGCACCAAGCATGATGTGCACGCCAAGGCCAGGATGTCAGCACCTTCTCAGTGAACTCAAACACACCTTCCTGCCACGCATGTGTGATGAACAAGTCGCAGTCAAGTCCTTCAGGATTCATCATCAACGCCCAGCTCATTTTGCCAGCAGCAGCCGTCACTGGCTTGATGTAATGTTCGTTCACTGCATAAATGCTTGGCCCATACTCCGCAAAGTTCTCCTGAAAGGTTTGGCCCTCTTGGATGGCTCTACGAATCTCAGATTGGAAGAACTTGAGATCAGCGAAGGTGATGCACCACCTCGCTGGGCTCACAGTTTCATGTAGTTCAACAGCTCGATTGGTCGGAAGGCGGTGACTGCGTACTGGCAAGCTTTCCGAGCGCCGAAACGCGGTCAACATCTTGTCCAGAGCTGCGTTCGGAAGGTCCTCTAAGGACTTACTAAGATCATACATATATCTATATTTACTATATATATTATATGATAATATATGATGATGATGATATATGATGATATACAATGACGATGTAGATTAGAAACTACCACAGCTGCTTGGCAAGGTGATGTTTCTGTTGGCAACGTGTTGGAATGTTTAGAACCTGAGCCTGCCGGAAGTCATATGTCATGGTGCCAAAGGCGCATGAGGAACGGACTCAGATTGGGATGGGTCGTTGGCTGGTCGTGTCGTGGATCCAACACTTGCTCCTTCTGAAGCTTCGTTTCGCTGCCAGCCCATCGTCCAATCAGTTCGGAACAGTTCCGATATTGGTTGGTTCCGGATTCGCATTCCGCAGCTGAGGTGTTTGCTGATAAACCCTCGAGATCCGAATTCAGGGGCGTCCTTCTGCTTTGGGGTTGGGGAGTAATCAATCATGTTCATGGATCGAATGATGAACAAAGGTCCCTTGACATGAAGATGAAGGGGAAAATTCTTCTTCGCTTTCTTGCGCTTTGGGCTTTGAAAGATCCTTCAGCCTGGATTCAGTGCAACCCATGAAATTGGTGTTGGCGACACCTGGAACTGACCCAATTCTTACAAGAAGCACACATGATGACCTGAGGTGTCGGTACGACCACGACGCACGACCCGAAGGGTCAGAGCGCCGACCCATGGAGTCGACCTGTTCGCACCTTCAGAAAATGGGTATATAGATCTATATACTAGTTTTGTACATAGGGTCAGACTCCCATGTTCTAAGGTACTGGGTCAGTCGGGTCCAGGTATAGATATAAATAGTCTCGAGTCATCAGAATCGCCTTCTCAGGTTCGCTCACCGTGGATCCCTGGGTTAGGGACGACGTCATGGCCAAGCTGGGAGGACGGAGTTCACGGAGCCAAAACGCCGGCAGCCCTTTGGCCCTTTTGTTCTTTTGGCACCGTGGGGAAAAGAAGGGGTTCAAGCTGAATCACCTTAAAGGCAATTCCTGATCCTTCCCAGCAGTTCCATGTCGGAACGTTGGGAACGTTGGTAACGTCCGCGGCTGCGAGTTGTTGGGCCCCCTTCCAAGTGCGGCACCCCATGGATTGATCAGCGCTGGTCTCTTCCACCTTCAAGCGCTGCGGGACTGTGTCCGTCCAAAGGGTCCCAAACGAAGCGGTGCGACTGTCGAGTCCCAGCTCATTCCAGGTTCGCCTTCGACTGTCCGCGAGTCATGGGAAGTGGTCTGGTCATGGGAAGTGCTGCAAGCAGTGAAAGTCACCATTCAGCTTCAAGGGGTGTCCCGACCCAGAGACCCTGGATACAGTGCTAGGGCATGGCTGGAGCTGGAGCTGGAAGAGCCAGGTGACCCCCCTTTGAGTTGCGGATTTGCAGGAAAAATCTCAAGCTCTTCCGACTTTAAGACGTGTAAGTCATGAAGTCTGAGAAATCCATCAGACATCTGGGGAGGGGGTTGAAAGGGATTGAAAGGAAACACACCAAAACAGGCCACGAGAAAAACAACACCTCAAGCCTCAAGCTTGCCCAACAAAACCCAGGCCTCAGAAACGTCAGGATCCGCTACTCGATGCGTCGTCCGATGCGCTCGCCAGGTCGGAAGACTCGGTCTCCACCGGGTGGAACTGAGATGGAAGGCTCAGTCGTGAGACAAAGAATTGGGCCAAAAGCCTGCCACATGGTAACCTGCCAGAAGGGCCAGCTTGGGGACATGAACAAGGAAGTTGTTTGTTTGTATTTATTTGTTCTAGGATATTTTTTGGAGTTTGTTGGAGAAAGAACCTATAGAAGAGAAATGAAGATCGTGACTCTTTGGTGTGCGAGTAACTTCAATGTACCGCGGATGCCCAAGGCAGAAAAAACGAGCACTGCCAAGAAGGAAAGGCAGTACACAATGAGCAGTATAGAAAACATGGCTTGATTCCCCAAAGGACCCAGTTCCACCAAGCAAAAATAGAATACGGTCACAATCTTTGCCATCACGTTCAGCATGAAACATCTTTCATCGATGGAGCTTCTGCAAAATAGACCCAAGAACATAAACCGAGCAAGGACTGATTCGGTTTCAATACACGCCCACAACGTATAGACTCTGGGGATCGGATCAGCCTCTTCAACAAGCAAATAGATATAGCGACCCACAAGCCAACAGCCCAGCATCAACAAAGGCCCAAGCACAAGCACAGGGATGGCTAGTTGAACGAATCCCGCATGCCGAAGTTCGACTCCCTGCAAATGTGCATCTCGAAGTGCATCCGATGTCATGCCAGCCTTCAACAAAACTTGGATCACTTTGTCCACTTCATCAACCTGATCACCTATCTCATTCCGAATGTTCACCTCATCTTGAACTTCAGAGCATGATGCATGCCGAATGGAGCCTTGATATTGATTTCGCAATGCTGTCGCCTCTTGGGCTTCAGCTTGGCAGTTGATTCGGTCGACTTCAGCAAGTAAGAAATAGAGGGCAATGCAAGAGTGATTGCAATACTTTGTCACAACCAAATGTGCTGTTCTGCCAAGGAGTGGAAGATATTCAAATCCACTCACAAGTAACTGACCTCCGATGATAGCGGCCGCTGTACTGCCCAAACCCACGTGGTTGACAATCAACCACAGCCGCATCTGTCCACAGTTTTGACTCATAAGGCTCGCAAAAAGCGCAGTCATTCCTCACTTGCTTGCCTTAACCCGGAAACAGGTTTTGGTGTGGACACTGCATAATTAATTGTATTGACAAAGGGAAGCAAAGGTCATTAAACGTCTTTAAGTGTATATATATGTATAAATATATCGCGTATATATGACAAAAAAAGGTCACTGAAATAAAGCGAACTGAGATTCTCATTATCATTATGAACAGCTGGAATAACTCCATGTGCCCCACTTTGAACCAAACACCAACAATGAGACCCATCAAAAACGCAGGAAGCATCTTGAGCCAAGAAAATAACACTTCCCGCCAAATGGGAGGCGTAGCCGTTCGGATGATCTTGTTGCTTTGAAAGGCCAAGTAGGCTTCATACCCACACCACAACCTGGTGTAGACACTGTTATGCCGGTTGGGCACCACCAGCATGTATTTGGAACTCTGCAAAGCAAGCGCAAAGGGAGATGATGATGGAGACTGAAGCAAAGCACCAATATCCAAGTTCTGTGGATTTGCCAACATGCAGCACCAAGCATGATTTGCACGCCAAGGCCAGGATGTCAGAACCTTCTCAGTGAACTCAAACACATCTTCCTGCCACGCATGTGTGATGAACAAGTCGCAGTCAAGTCCTTCAGGATTCATCATCAACGCCCAGCTCATTTTGCCAGCAGCAGCAGTCACTGGCTTTATGTAATGTTCGTTCACTGAATAAATGCTTGGCCCATACTCCCCAAAGTTCTCCTGAAAGGTTTGGCCCTCTTGGATGGCTCTACGAATCTCAGATTGGAAGAACTTGAGATCAGCGAAGGTGATGCACCACCTCGCTGGGTGCAATGTTTCATGCAGTTCAATGGCTCGATTGGTCGGAAGTCGCTCCCTTGTCCGATAGGAAGCCAAGCTTTCCGACCGTCGAAATGAGGTCAGCATCTGCAAGGAGTTACCCGCCACAAAACACAAATAGAAACCGCCCCAACGTTTTTGGGAATGGTAGTTGTTCTTTCTAATTACTGAGGGTGGTCTGTGAATTTATGTACGTTGTGTTTTGTAATTTATTACGGTTCAGGATGTTGACTACTAATGAGAGGTTAACACATAGGGGGGGTTTACTAATGAGAGGTTGACATGTGAGACTCTTCATACTTCTTCTTCATGCCTGTGAGCCACCCTCACCTGGCCCAAAACGCTCCACCCTCTGTCTGCGCAATGCCTGGGTTCGCCCCAGTGTCGTTGCGGACGGCGGACGCAGCCAGGATCACACCCATGACATGTGTGTTTTTTGGGGGAAGAACCACTTATATACATCGCTCCACATGTGTTTTTTGCGGAACATCTGAATCTAATATAGACATTTCTTGGAACATCATGGAACCTCTCGTTGTTGAAGTATTCTCATGTAATTCCCCGAACATGTCACTCTATAATTGGAACCCGGGATGGCTGACACCACCGCTGAAACCTTCCACTTCTCAACACAAATCCCTAAAAAAGAGGGAACTCGTTGACTTGCAGGAACAGCAACTACATGCAAAACCTCAAGGCTTTGTTCATTACAAGGCTTTGTGTAGTGGAAGACATGGAGACCCCATATAAGTTAGCCTATCACATCCATCCTAACCAGTTCGTTTGGTTCGGTTCGTTCCTGACACATCCGGAGCACATCCATATGGCCAGTGGCATACACACCAGACCACCTGAGTCCAAACAAATCCGGAGCAAAGTCTGGAGCGCGATGGAACACAGCCTGGACATACACAGTCGCATCGGTGGCTTCTTAGATGTTTCTTGTCGATGAGGGGCTCCATATACAACTTGAGAGAGGAGGGAGTGAATGAAAGGTAGCAGGCAATCACAAGTAACCCTGGTAGAAGTCCATGACGGCGTGAACCGGCGCAGGGGGGACATTGGTGTGTGTGTCCGTTTGGTCCATCTACTCGCTCCCAACCCCGCTCGGATTTGAGGCGGTCTCGAGGCGGGGAGGCCGGTCGAGAGAAGAAGCGAGGAGAGGCGTGGCATTTGAGGCGTGCGGCGTCCATGCTATAGGAGACCTGTGGAGACCCCTCCAAGTCGAGTCGTGAACGGTAGAGACCAACCTGAGTCGGGCTTCGGCAGAAGGTGTCGCGGCGCAGCCCTCGAGATGTTTTGCTGGAAGTGGAGCTGCATTTGCCATTGATTCGTCACGGCTCAGTCTGTACAAGCTCTCCTTCCTTCAGTGGAGCTGTTCTGTGCCCGTACAGGGCATCGAGCAAGATGAATTAACAGGTCGCTGACTGACCCTCAAGTACGTATACCCAGTGGATCCCAGTTACCACTATATAAGGAACCAGGGGTTCTAGGTCTATGGTTTTAGTCTTTGGAACCACTGGTTACCAGCTAACTAGTGGATTGCCTGGATGCCCTGGGATACCTTTTGTCCATACCTGACCCCAATCAAGTGTCAAACTGACCTCTACCAGGACCTTCGAGCGCTTTTGGCGCTCCGGTTTCGGAATCCGAACCGTTCCGCTTCGATATGGTCTTCGGTGGGTGTGGACGGGGGGGGGGGTCGAATATACCACCTTACCTGACAAGATGGGCAGCCTGAGGGGTGGACATCCAGGCGATTGGTAGACACTCAAACCGTGTTCGGGTCTTGGATGGTCTTGGTACCAGGGACCAAACCCCACGGGTTATCACATAATATACCAAAACGAGGTTTTTTGCTATGGAAAACCTGGTTTTTCATGGTTTGTGGGCCCCTGGTATAGGGTCCGTTCTGAAACCAGGCGGAACCTGTGTTCGGCCCACGCGAAAGCGCGTTGCGTGCGATGGATGTCTTGACAGCTTTCACCAGTATGGGGTTTCGCCCCACGAAATTCCAACAGGTGGAAGAAAACACAAGCTATTGTGTTCCAGGGAAACTGGGGGCTGAGGGAGAATTTACGGACACATCGAGATCATCGAGGACAGGGTCACCCAGCAGTTGTGCGAAACCTGGGTCTCTAAGAGAACCTAAGGCATCTCTCCAGCAGAATTGGACCTGAAAAGCCGGCCATCACACTAAAAATAGTAGACACATCGATGCATCTCCCAGTAGCCGGCGCATCCCTAGTAACAAGGGATGCGCTTACTACTAGCTAGAAGCTACTAGGTTGGAGGCCCTCGCTATTAGGTTGGAGGCCATTGCTATTAGGTTGGAGGCCATTGCTATTAGGTTGGAGGCCATTGCTAGTAGGTTCAAGGCCATTGCCATTAGGTTCAAGGTCATTGCTATTAGGTTCAAAGCCATCGCTACTAGCTTGGAGGCCGCTAGTAGGTTGGAGGCCGCAACAAGACGCTACGTAAGTAACAAGTGCATCGCTACTCGTTGCTTCCGCTACTTCTGCAACTCTCGGAGCCTGAGGTCTCGGACCCCGAGCCGCTCGGGTGACTGGCGGATGCGCAGCGCGAGCCGTCCAGCGCTCGAGCCGTGTGCAAGGTGGGCCCGACGAGACGTGACAGGAAGAATTGGGCCAAGAGCCTGCCACATGGTAACCTCAGGCTGCGAGTTTAGCTGCAGAATGAAGTCGAGTTTCGATGTTGAATACTTTTGAATACTTTTGATCATGGTCACCTCAATTGGGAACAGGTCGGAATTGGAATAACAGTGAGCCAATGCATATGTACAAATATTGCTTAGCTGTTTGACTCATGCGCAGTGAATAAGTTCGGGACAGACTTATAGATGTCAACATCTTGGGTCGCTTTGTCCTTGGAGGAAAGAAGCCAAGAACTATAGTATTTTGATGTATTTTGTGGATTTTGCGAGTAACTTCAATGTGCCGCGGATGCCCAAGGCAGCAAAGAACACCGCCACCAAGAAGGAGAGGCAATACACAGTGTGCAGCACGCAAAACATGGTTTCATTCCCCAAAGGACCCAGCTCGATGAGACAAAAGTAGAAGACCGTCACAATCTTTGCCATCACATTTAGCATGAAACATCGTTCATCGATGTAGCGTTTCAAAAGTAGACCCAAGAAGGCAAACCTAGCAAGGATTGATCCGAGTTCGATGCATACAAACCAGGTATAGACTCTTCCGAGCGGATGGCCTCCTGCATAAAGCAGAATTCGAACCTCAAGCCAACAGCCCAGAATCAACAAAGTCCCAAGCATAAGCACAGGGATGGCCAATTGCACGAAGCCCGCATGCCGAAGTTCGACTCCCTGCAAGTGTGCATCCCGAAGTGCATCCGACGTCATCCCAGCCTTCAACAGAACTTGGATTACTTTGTCCACTTCATCAATCTGATCACCAATTTCATTGCGAATGTTCACCTCATCTTGAACTTCGGAGCATGACGCGTGCCGAATTGAACCTTGATAGTGATGTTGCAATGCTTCTGCCTCTTGCGCTTCTATTTGGCAGCTAACTCGGTCGACTTCAGCAAGTAAGAAGTATAGGACGATGCAAAAATAGGAAGCATACTTGATGATAGCCAACAGGTTTGTTGTCACAAGAGTAAGGTAGCTAAATCCACTCAGAAGTAACTCACCTCCGATAATGGCGGCCACACCACTGGCTAGGCCTAGATGGTTGGCAATCAAACACAGTCGCATCTGTCCACAGTGTTGACTCACCAGGCTCGCGAAAAGCGATAGCATTCCTCACTTTGCCCGGCTTAGGGTCAGAGCAGGGTTTAGATAGATTCCTCCCACATGGTTTGGACGCTGTTAACCCAAACCAAACCATTTGGAGGAATCTATCTAAATCCAAATCCAGTGTCTATTATAGTGGATTAACCCAAATTAAGCAGAACAAAAAAGTCATTGATCTTGACAAACTGAGATTCTCATCAGCAGTATAAACCGTGTAAACACTTGCGTACCAACAGCGGCACCAATCAGCAGTGCAGGAAGCATCCTGAGCCAAGCAAGTAACACTTCTCGCCAAATGGGAGGCGTAGCCGTCCGAATAATCTTGTTGCTTTGAAAGGCCAAGTAGGCTTCATACCCACACCACAACCTGGTGTAGACACTGTTATGCCGGTTGGGCACCACCAGCATGTATTTGGAACTCTGCAAAGCAAGCGCAAAGGGAGATGATGATGGAGACTGAAGCAAAGCACCAATATCCAAGTTCTGTGGATTTGCCAACATGCAGCACCAAGCATGACGTGCACGCCAAGGCCAGGATGTCAGCACCTTCTTGGTAAACTCAAACACACCTTCCTGCCACGCATGTGTGA